CATCCAAGGTGGCAGGTACAGAGCACCCAGGATGGAACCTTCTGAGGTGTGGCATTTGCTCTAAGTTGCATCAGGCATCATCCTCCAGGCTATGGCCACGTGGTGGGAAGGTGTTAGGTTTATATATCCAGACATATCAGAAGGCGTATCTATTGCAATTATTGCAAAATCAGAGATGTTGTGATTATCTGACTCAAAATAAAAACTTTACAATGGGTTGTTATTATTATTTATTAAGATTGCATATTTTCATCTTTCTTTGCAAGTTACTGTAATACACACTTTAGTGATAAAGTGCATTCTGGGTTTCAAAGTAAACTTTTCTGAGGTTGTCTCTGATGCTTTTAAAACCCCATTTCTGTCCCCCTCCCCCATTAAGAATACTTGCTTAGAAGAAAAAAATTGTTAAACAAAACAGGCAGCCATTAAATCTTTTTCAAGGGGGCTCAACAGGAATTTTGAAACAGTATCATGGGCATTCATAAAATTGCTGCCATGATGGACATAGTCACAAAACACCCATTTCCCAGGATGCAAACTGGTGAGAGTAAAGAAAAGTTACTTGTCCAAGAACCTACAGTAAGTACAAGATAGACAATTGTTCAGAATTCCAAAAAGCAAACCACCTTTTCTGTATCAGAAAAGGCTTAGAGAAGAGTAATTTCCTCAAGGAATTGAGTACAAGGAAAAGGTAGGTTCTGAGCCTCAAATGCCAAATCACATATTTGCCCTCACAAAACAGAACAAAATTCACAGAAGGCAAACTGCTGACACTCAGAGAAACAGAGACAGACATTTGTAAAGCATGGCAGAAGACAAGAACCCTTCGTGCTGTCCACTCCATTTTGGTCCCCCCGGACACTCCGTAACTCCATTTCTCTCTTGGATGCCATACATGCAATCAATGCATTTTTGGACATAAAGCAGCTCCCAATTTTTAAAAATATCTTTAAAATCCAATAAAAATAAGGCCAGGCAGAGAGCCCGGAAAGTTCCAAGAGATACCATGTTGAAGACCCCAGAGTTAAAATAATAGCAAATACCTCCTGTATATAATTGTTCTTTAAAGGAATTTATCCAAATCTAGATAAAACAACATTTCAAGACAAAATAAGAACATACGGTTCAACACTTTAGTTAACTAAGAACATGCAACAGTACCACTGGGTGGTTGAAGGGATTGTTTATATAATCTTTCTTCCCCTGCAAATTAAACAAACACATTTTAAGAAAGAAATATAAAATCTGCTAATGAGAAAGGTTTCATGTTTGTTTGCCCAGGCAAGTACCATATACAGAGAGGCTGGGTATGTTATCAGGGTCCATCTATGCAAGGTCAGTACACTCTATTGTGGGCTTCTTGTCATAGGATGGCCAGGTGTCCTCTTTTACAAAGGACAATTCTTTATTTCAAGGACTGGCCTATCCAATTTCAGCTTAATGATAATAACTCCTAAAAACTATAATTCTCAATTACCTCAACAGCAGGGTGAATAGGCAGGTAAATAAATCACCAGTTCAGTGTTCTATAGTATAATGAGGTGCACTGTATTTCTGTTTAAATTATAATGATCATTTCTAAACATGTATCTATACATAAAATTTGCACTCCAAATGGAATGGAAATCACTCCTTTCTGAAATTCTTACTTTTGGAGATTCAAAAGTGGCCACTCTATATCAGTCTTTAGAATTTCCTGACCAAGCCACCTCCAAGGAAATGCGCTCCTTGAGAAGGTACAGGTGCTTGTGCAATATCTCCTCAAATCTACTGAGTATGGATATTAAAAAGTCACAGGCTGGATATATCCCAAAGTGCAGGGAGGACTCTGCCATGCTATTATATTGAGGAACCTTTGTAGAAAGGCTAAATGAACATCCCAAACTGTAAAGAAATAGTCTGAATTCCTTCTTACATTTTAAACAAGAAAGAGCAGTTTGAAAACTGGTGCCCTGGGGCAGTGGCATATGGATCTCTTGGGCAGTCTGCTGCCTAGTGGAAAAGTCAAGTTCGCTGTTCTGTTTGCTTTTGTCGGGGTTGGGATAAGGGGGAGCACACTGAGTGTGGAGTCCCTAATTGTACAATGAGAGCAATAAAATAATGAGTCTTAGTACCACACACTAACTCAGGAAGCAAGTGGTTTAAGGTGATGTTTGTACATGACCAACAACTGATCTGTTCAGAATAAATGACAGCTGTAGCTGTTTTATGTGCACTGGCTTGTGGTGGCTGCATTAAGCTGGCGTGGTTTCTCCCCCTCTCCCACCCCACAAAAGACCCACAGGGTTGAAAAGCAGCTTAGTCGTGAAGGATTTTCAAGAAACATTTGTCATCTGCAGATACATTTAAGGCACTGTGGGTATCCCATGTGAAACTGTTTAGACTACTTTCAGTTAATTTTACTACCCAGCTAATGCTTAAAGAAAAGTTGAAAGCCTCGACTTGGCATTTTTATATGCCTGTTTTTGTCTATCTTGCTAAGCCAGCCCATATCTGTTCTGAAAGCACTTCCAATAGCCTGGCCTGTTTCCTCCACTGAGATAACTTATTGCAACATGGAGAACTCAAGATTGGGAGCAGAGCTGGCTTACACAGCATATCTGACAGAGATTGAAAAATTAGCGAGAGGAATGTGATGGGAGGGAAGAAAGAGGGGAGGTATGTGTGAATGACCAAGCACAGGATGAAGGACACTGAGGGGAAATGGATGGTAATGTGGGTTGGAAGAGGAGAAACAGGCGGCAGTGGGGAGAGTGGGAGGTTAGGCATGCACTTGGCACTCTGGTCAGCCATCTGCTATGTGGGGGGCAGGATGTAAGCAAGGATGTCAAAAAGAGAGAGAAGCCAAGACAGCCCTCCAGGAGCTCTTAAAGTAGCAGCTGCTGGCATTTCCCATGGAAGGTCATGTGCTTTTAAATCCCCAAAGTCTAGTTATCTCTGAGGAACAGGGCTAAGCAAGGTACCAATAATGTTGAACTGCATAGACAGGCACCCGATGATGTAAAAAGTTGAATTTGTAATGGAAGATTAGAAACAGTGCGTGTTTTGAGTGTGTGTGGGGTGGAGGGGAGGTGGAAAGTGTGGGATGGAGTCTATTGCTGGTCAAAATCTAAGCATACAGGCATTTCACCCAAGATCAGTGGTTAGATTTCTATCCAAGGTTCAAGAGTGAAGGGTCCCTTCTCCCCACATGTTGAAGTTAGGATAATGGCGACTGCATATCATTCATGTTCAAAAAAAATATTGAATCATTTTCAATTTGACATTTCTGTTATAAGCCACTCAGACAGGTCAATGATATTTATAAACACAGAGGTACTCTTTTTAAGGAATCAACTAGATTTTGAAATGTAGTAATAATTTTAAAAATATTCACATGATATTTCCAGTTTGTTCATGAAATGCCATCGAGCATGGCAAGTTAAATAGCAAATATTCCCAGTCATGGTGGCATGCCTGCCGAGGAGCTTGGATAGCCGGAGGTCTTGCACCCATCCTGTTGAGTGATCTGTGGGCAGCTGGATTGCTGTTGTGTGGATGTGCTGGACTAGATGGACCTTTGTTCTGATCCAGCATGGTTCTTCTTACGTTCTTATCCCAGAGTGTAGAGCATGGAATAATGGGCTCAAGTTACAGGAAGTCAAATTCTGGCTGAACATCAGGAAGCGCTTCCTAATTGTTACCACAATGCAACAATGGAATGAAACCTCTAGAGAGATTGTGAACTCTCCCACACAAAAGGCATTCAAGATGTAGTTGACAGCCATGTGAGAGAGATGGTTTAACTTGGAGTCCTGCACTGAGCAGAGGGTTGGACCCTTCTTGGCTCGGCTTCTTCCAATTACTGTTCTGGATTCTATGCTACCCCAAATCATTATTGCTGTTGCACTAGACTTGTGAGTGACATCATTTGTGGTTGATACAGGGAGATAAATAGGCTGTTCTGATCCAGTAGCTTGTTTAACATAAAACTGAAACAAACTACATAAGCCTTTTTTGATGCCATAATGAACCCTAAAGACAAACTTTAGCAAGCCACGTTCATTTTAATCCACTGCCTGTCAAAGATTGCCATACTGGACTAATTGTTTGACTCAGGGTAAACCATATTCATGTGCTCAAATTTTCTTTATATTAATGTATCAAATGATGCAAGCAGCACAGTGGGTTTATTACTACTATTGCTACTGCTACTACATTTTTTCAATCAAACTGCTGCTTTGTTTCTCCTCTTCAAATAGAAATACACACACTTTGGTTCAGTCATTTCTGATTGAAGGCATCAGGAAATGATCCATGGACAAGGTAGAGCCAAAACAACAACAACAACAACAACACCAGAATTGTAGCATAGGTGACTGCCCTCAAAAGAACATTCTAAACCAGGTGTATGTATGTTTGAAGTTTAAAGGAAGCACACAAATCATTCCAACAAGCTGATCAAGCTTTGTTCCTAGCAATCCAACATATTATGCTGTTCTTCGGTATTTTGCCAGCCTCCATCTTTACGCTCACAACATTCCTCCATATATACTCCATACATGCTCCAAGTAGGTTAGAATTACTGGTGGTAACAATAGGAAATTAATAAAAAATAAGGAGAAGGAAGACCATATAAATTACTTTGGGTTCCCTGCTCTTTACACCCAGTCCTAGAAATTGTGTTGCTTGTGCTGCGGCTTGTAGAGTTGTTCACTAGAACAATAATCTCTGCAAAGTATGATAGTTTACTGGTAATCATGACAATGGAAAAAGGATATTGAACATTTGCATGGTATATGGTAATCCCATTATTCTACCCTACACTGCAGCATACTTTCATCATGAAAAAAATAATAATGCATGTCATCCTTGGAATGCACTTCTCAGCAGATGCAACTGCCATCTTTTTCCCCCTACCTGAAATTAGAAAAGCAGGGTATAAGATGCCTTTTTATCCATGTGATCCAAAGCAGCAATGAATCAAATACTGATAATCATGTATATGCTTCCTATTGCAGATACAGACCCACGTGTATTAGAGAAACAAGAACTACAACAACCAACATATGTTGCTCTCAGTTACATTAATAGGTAAGATATTTTATATACAAATATGCACTTCTGTGGCTTTGAAAAGTGATATTTCACAAGGTAGGTCTTCCACTAAATTTCAAATATCTAGATGATTGAGAATGAAGTACATGTGGACAATACTGTACACTTCTGGTTAATATCCATAATTATGGAATTACATTAGTGATTATCAATAATGATCTTTAGACCATTATTCTTATCCATCTTTACAGTCTACATCTATAAACATTATTTTTGGCATGAGTTTCCTATGTGAAAGATGATGGCATTACTTCTAAAACAAGTATAGTTTAAAATGCTTTCACTGAATATGTTTACTTATTGCTATCATTTCCGTGGGGCTGAGCCGATTTGCAAAAAATCTGATGGTCTGACAGCAGTCCATTTTTTTCAAGGATTATACTTGAAGGTGAGCCAAACTTTGAATGCTGGTGGCAGAGAGTATTTGTTTTTGTGTTACTTTTAAGCAATTAATAAATCCAAGATGTTTCTGGGTACTGTTTGATAGATTCCTGCTATAGTTGCATCATAGGAACAAATAACCCTGTTGAATCAGGCTGAGTCAATGTAATTGAGCATCCTGTTTTCCAACTGTTTTTAGTGAGATCTCTCTAGGAGAATTACAAGAAACACGTTTTGTCCTTCAGGAATATGCTGCATTCAAGAGTTTCCACTTGCCTATGGTGGCTAAGAGCCATTGATGGTCCAATCCTCCATCAACGTGTGTAGTGTGTGATGAAAGTTAATTGAAGTAGTGACCATTATAGCATCTTGTGGCTGTGCATTTTATATATTAGTTATGTTTTGCGTGAAATCCTGGTTCAATGGAAACCCTGGTTTCTTGCTGCATGAACATGTACAGCAAGACCTGGGCTTATGTGCATGCACACACATATTTCCCTTCTTTTGTGCCTGTGAAGATTGGAAGCATTTAGATTTTAAACAAACCATATCAAAATTCAGGGAACTGAATTCTGACTGTGGTTAGTTAAGCAAGAATCCTTTTGAGCCTAGTCTGTTTTCGAATTATAGTATAAACATACCACATTTCTCAAAGTTCAGTTTCTACAATAAACTGTGATATAAAAAAGAGAAGAGGGAAGCAGGAAGTTTGTATACCCATACCACTAAAAGATCTGAGGCTCAGACTCACAAGACAAAAAAGAGTGCACAAACCTTCATATGCTAGTTTATAAATGGCCTAAAGTCAGTCAGTCCAGTCAGACTGTCTCTGAGTGTGTATGAGCATGCATGTGTGTGCATGCAAGTCTTTAAAAGACCCGGGCTCTTAAGAACACTGCAGTTGTAAAAGGAACACATGGATAAGGAAGAAGAGGGCAATCAATTTCAGAAAATTCTGAGGTAGAAAGATTGGTAGGAGAGCAGCAGGTGAAGTGCAAGTGAGCAAAAAGCCAGCTAGCCCGGGGGTCAAATGCAATTGCAAGCCCCTGTCCCTGTATTTCTGCAAGTGCCCATGGGGCAGCTGGGCTGCAGATTTGGGTCTGCATCTCCAAATGAAGAATTCTGGACTCCAGAACTAGTGGGCTGCCTCTTAACACAGGTGGTGCTGTATAAGGATCCCCGCTTGGAGAATGAGTGAGAAGGAAGCCCCTCAAAAAAAAGTTTCTCATCTGTTGCTCTGAAGACAAAATGTTATTCAGTGTGACACTAAAAAGCACATTTGACACAGCAGCCTTTGGAAGCGAAGGGCACAACCCTACGTATGTTTAGACAGGAAAAAGTGCTGCAGTGTCTGGCTGGCTGAGGAATGCTGGAAGTGGCAGTCTAAGACTGCATAGGATCACATCTAAGTGGGTCTGGACCTAGTCACACCTCAGTGGCAGACTGCCCGGGATGCCTTTGTATGCTGTCTTGAGTTAAATGATAGAAAAATGGAAGAAATATCAATGTAATTAAATGTATTTTAAATATTTAAGGCACTTTCGGTGCATATTCACATTTTAATTTAAGTCCAGGGCTACAGACCCCTCTCAAGTAGTTAACACATTTATGTAAGAGTAAAAAGCTTTACATTCTGCAAGCCCTAACAAAAGGATTGTATACACATAGCTATTTATTTCAGTGGATTAAAAATGCACAATTTTATTTCAGAAACAGCTTTTTGATATTTCTCTTCATGCACAGAAATCTGTGCAGTGAACCTCTTCTATATGAATGTCTGGGCTTTTTGTAAGCTCAGCTGTTTCAGGTAACCCATGTAAATTTAACTGACTGAATGCCTGTGGCCTATGCCAAACTTGAACATTGTTTGACATCCACCAAGTTCTGTATAACTTGTAAGCTTATGATTAAAAGCTGCACAGTATGAATGGAACTGATTGTTTTTGGCATTCAGGTAATAAAATATTTAGATTTGTTGGTTTCACAAACTTGCTATTTATCAGGAAAAGAGCCTTTATAGTCCTGAACATATGTTACATAGAAATGAGACTAAAATTAGGCCATATAAAATTCAGAAATTATAAATTGAATAAATATCAGAATGATTTTGTGGCCTTTCCCTGTTTTTCATATATTGCAGTCCTGCATTTTAGCAGCATAGAAGGGGTGTTGGTGGACTCCTTAATTTGTTAGCCATTTCCACTGTATGTTTACAGTTGTGTGAAATTTTAGGTCCAGATGGCTTTAACTTTATGTAATCTTCATGTATGCTAGAAGAAACCTTGGTATGGTACTTTGGATGAAACTTGCATAGCCAGAAATTTTGACTTTTTTCTTAGGAAAACCAAGGCATCTTATACAATCCTCTTCTCAATTCCAACAACCCTGTGAGGTAGGCTAGGCTGAGAATCATTGACCAGCCCAAAGTCACCAAGTGAGCTCCATGACCCAGCAGGGACTAGAACCCAGATCTCCCAAGTGTCTGTCCAACACTCTAAGCATTACACCTTCCTAGCTCTGCTGTAGATGTTCCTGGATGAAAGTGAGGGTGATATTGTATCCTTCCCTGGCAGCAAAATATCTTGGGACATTCCTGGTTAGAAAGGATGAGCAGATTGCTGACCTTGGTTGTCTTGTGACTTACTCCTGCCAGAGCAGCTGCATAGTTGCAGAATGATTTTCATGAAACCCATTTCAGGGCCAAATTAGATTCGATAATGGCAGATCCTGGCTGAGACATGGGTTGCTACCCAATTTCTATAAAGCTGGTTTAAAGTGTCCAGAAGCAAAAGATGAATGTGGGAGAGTACCAGATCATCTTCCTTCCTTCTCCTTTCTTCCTAGCTCTGTTCAGGCAGACAACAGGTGAACAGGTGAAGCCTGTTCAGGTAGCACCTCCTGCCCTTGCTGCCAATGATCATTCATTCAAAGGTACCAATATAACAGCGTTTAGTGATGCAGCTGCATGTAGGATCAGATGCCCTGGGAAAAGGACGGTCCCAGATCAGGGCCTAGACTTGGTCAGAATACGTGACTCCTAACAAGTGAGCACAGGAAGAAGTACTCTAACCCAGGGGTAGACCTCGCATTTTCTATGCATAGGTTCCAGGGTTCAATCTCTGTAGCCCTAAGTGATGCTGGAAAAGTCTGAGAAACTCATGGGTTATAATAAGTGTTTTTCATTAACAGGGTCGTCCTTCACTATATTCTTCTTTAGCAGTTTTTAATTGTTTAATGTTTCTTCCAATAAGATTTTATGGTTTTTATTGTATTGCTTTTATGTACTGTTGTGAACTGCCTGAGAACTTTGGCTATGGGGCAATATAGAAATTAAATGAATAAATTATAGGTGATTTTTATGAAAGAACTTGACATTTAAAAATGTAAGGCTTTGAGAACTTAGTATGTGATGCTTAAATAAGAACTGAAATGGTTCATTTTAAAACAAAAGCACAACTGAGGCTGTGAGGCCATCCTAGGAACAGCAGCAGGAGCAGCAACGAATAAGGTTCTTCTTTCCTGTAGATGAGGCCCCTTCAAATGTTATCTTTCCACTCTCTACAGAACTCTTTGTACCAGCACAATGGATCTTATCAATTAGTTTTGTTTTTTTAGCAAAAAGTTTCATGAATAAGTTTGTAGGTTTTATATTGCTCTCTCTTGGATGCACATCTTAATGGGGTTTGAGAGTATCATACAGATGAACTAGCAGGGTCACACAAGGTGGAATGGTCAAAGCTGAGACTTAAGTCTAAAATTCACCCACCCTCTTCAGGAGTAATAGTCATATCAGCAGGAAAGAATAGATATATTCTCTGATAGGAGTAGAGAAACTCCTGTAAGGCAGCTACTGAAAGTTGAAGTGGTAGTTGAAGGCAACATTAGTAGTGGATCTTTCACAGCTAGTGGCCATGAAGCTCACTCAAGCTAACACTTACGACTGTGCAGAAGAACACAGCGGTAAACCACTTCTGAATATTTCTACCTTGTAAACCCTATGATGAAACAACACAAAATGAAGCAAGAGATGGTCCTGAAAGACAGTGTTAGAAAAATTGTTTCATTAATGAAAAGCTGATGGGTTTTATATCAAGTCTAGATGTTCTAAGGAGGCTCCTTGCCTCTATTTATCAAGAAAAGTCCCATGGTTTATGTTGTGCAGATTTCAGTGTGTGATATCAGCAACTTGGTGGCTGCTTTATGAATGATCCAAAAAACTATATCCAATTTCTTGTGGGCAGGGGCCTCCACAGGGCAAGGACTTGCAGGGATATCTGTCCAAATGTGACCCTTCTTTTGAAATGCTTGGAAGACCACTTCTCAAGTGAGCTCTGTGCTTGCAAAAGAGTAAAAACAGATCTCTAGACTGGGATTAGTCTACCTGCAATCCAGTGTCTGACTGTACACATACTCCACTGATCTCAGATTATGTCTCATTGATGCATGGTACACATGTCCCATTGATCTCAGACTTGTGCCTCTGACCGGATTTGCCTGTAACACCAATTCATGGGTTGTGCAGAGTGAGCAGGTGTGCTGCCTCCCAGCCACTCACCTGTCCCACTTCGTATCCGCTTTCATAAATAACCGAGGAA